GTTTCAGCAAGCAGGGTTGTGTCATTTGCATAATGCAGATTGTTAATAGATTTTCCACCAATCCTGACACCACACTTCTCCTCATAGAGCCCAGCCTCTTGGATAATGTGCTCTGCATACAGATTGAAAAGGTATGGAGATAGGACACATCCCTGGTGTTCACCCTTCCCAATTTTGAACCATGCAGTGTTGCCCTGCTCTGCTCTGACGACTGCCTCTTGGTCCAAGTATAGGTTTCACATTAGCAGGAGTAAATGTTCTGGGATTCCCATTCTTCTCAGAGTCAGCCACAGTACTTTTAAAAAATCAAATGTCTCTCAATAAAGTAGTGGCCTTTGATAGAACGAAACTTTAATGCTATGCTTTCAATATAAAAATAATCTAAAACTAATTTTTGTGGGAGGAAAACAAAGTCAGCCTTAAAGAACTTGCCAATATACTGGTGAAATTTAGCAACATCCATTTTTAAAATGGCAAAATTTAGGAACTGCAAAATGTGTTTATCAACCTGAAAAGATACAGAGTTAACATTGGTTCAGATTCTACTTAGTTAATAGTCCTGCAAGAAAATAGATTGATACAGTGACTGTAACAATGGGTTTAAATATAACAGAGATGGTGAACATGACACAGGACAGGGCAAGGTTCACCCTCATTCATAAGGCTGCTATGAGTTGTAGTTGACAGCATATAACAATAACAATTTGGATTGCAGGTTTAAAGTTCAGCTTGCTTAATAAATCCTCCTTTCCAGAAAAGAAATTAAGACCATTAGTAAATACAAGAATTTCTGGTGGTGCAAATGGTTAAAGTGCTCAGCTGTTAACCAAAATGTTCAGAGTTCAAATCTACCCAAAGGCTTCACAAGAGAAATATCTATTTCCATAATGATTTTTTGTTGTTGTTAGATGCTGTCAAGGCAAATAAAACTCATAGCTACTCTATAAAAAAGCAATCTGAACAGCACCCTATCCCATGGCATTTTTACAATCTCTGACACATTCAAACCCACTACCTCCATCCCCAGGTAAACCCACCTGGTGTAGGGTCTTCCTCTCTTTCGCCACTTCTCAATTTCCCCAAGCATGATGTTCCTCTCCAAGGAATAATCTCAGCAACATGCCTGAAGTTTGTGAGATGAAGCTTCATTCTCTTTGCCTCCAAAAAGCACTCTGGCTGCACCTTCTCTAAGATTTATTATCTATTTCTTCCTTTGACAGTCCACGGGATCTTCAGCACTCATACCTAACACCACTATATTCAAAAGTAACACTCTAGTTAAAAGGCGCCAATTCTTTTCCTGTTATCTTTAGTCACTGTCCAGCTCTCAAATGCATATTAAGTGACTAAAAAGACCTCAAACTGGCATCGTTATTTCTCAATAATTTGGAGAGGTCCGTGTCTACAGACTTTTCCAGGGAAACATCCCCTGATCACCTGACCAAGTGTACTGATCGTGGATCCAAGTAAGATGAAGTCATTTACAGTCTCAATCATTTCTCCTTCCATTATGATGTTGTCTCTGGGTCCAATGATGAAAAATTTTGTTTTCTTAATGTTGAGATGATATCCAAATTGAATGTTGCAGTGTTTAGTCTTCCGAAGCAAGCAGGATTAAGGGGGACTTCAAGTCCTCTTTACATTCAGCTAGTAAGGTTGTTACTTGCTTCCAAGTAAGGTTGTGTCATCTACATACCGAAGGTTATTGTTGAGTTTTCTTCCTATAATACTGATATCCTTGGAAGGAGGAGTGGCATCCACTTCCATAATAGCTTGCCTCCAGAAAGCCTGTGGACCTGGAGAGAGGATGAAAGGAACCCAAGCGTTGTGGACTCTCCTTCATAGAGTCTCTATGAGTCGCCTGCAACTCGACCACACTTAACAACAACAACAACAACAACATATATAGATCAAAACTAGCTTCTATTTCCTTATCATTCACAGATTTCTATCCATGAAGTCTATGAATTATTTTCTCAAATCATAGACATAGATTCTGATGAGCAAAGATGTGGCCAGTTCCATGAGAACCCTTGTTTAAGACATTCAAGGCTTAAATAATATTATTCAACATGCAGTGATCTAGGTTAAGAGTAAGAGGCACAGGAACCATATCATTTAAAACAATCAAGTTGAGAATGAATATGACAGGCTAAAAATGAGAGGCAATGTGTCTAACGTTTCACAGGCAAAGATGAGCGAAGTCTCACCTCTGGTCAGAGAAGTGATTACGTGGAGGAGTGATTCTCAAACTTTTGTGCATATAACTATCACCTGAATCACACGTTAAAGCACAACTTCCTGAGCTCCATCTACAAAGCTTCTGATTAGAAGGTCTGTAGTTGAATCTGAGAGTAGCCATTCTAACAAGGTCCCAGGTGATTCTGATGGAAAGTTCAAATTTGAGTACTGTGATGTGCAACTCATCGAAATTAATGAGTGTGGATTTTAGTGTAGGTGAGACGGTGAGCCACAGGAGGCTTTTAATTAGGGGAAGAACGTGATTTGTTTTATTTGTTAAAATGATCCTCATCTACTGATTGGAACTGATGACATAGTCTAAGATTGTTAAAAAGATTAAATGAGATAGTGCATATAATATACTAAATATGCTAACATATAAATTTTCCTTTGGGATATTTTCTCTGCTTTCTTACCTCACAAATTTTCCCTACAATTGTAAATAATCTTTGAAACTCCTTTTGGAACCTCAGATGCATTTTCCAAATGCCCAGTGTATTCATTGTCAATTGCTGCTACTGCTAATTATGCCAAATGTACTAGTTTAAGCAATACCCAATATCCATATTAGAATTGTTTCACAGTTCTAGAGTTCAGATTTCCAACTTGCTTGCACTATGTTAATACTAAGGTGTTGTCAAAGTTATGTTACATTCTGGAGAAATCTCTCTCCTTACCTTTTCCAGGATGTTGTGTTCTCAAGCCCCTTTTCTGTTTCAAGGCTTACTATAGTGGCCTCATCTTTTCCACACCACATCTTTGACTTTTTTTTTTTTTTACTGTCTCATTCTTCTGTTTATGAAGACTCTTGTGACGGCATTGGGCCTACTTGGATAACTAATCAGGGGTATCTCTCTATTTTAGGGTTAGTTAAAAGGCTGCGGAGCGGTTGGGTAATTAAGCACTTGACGGCTAACTGAAAGATCAGCAGTTTGAACTTAGCTACAACTCCATGGTAAAAAGACTTGACAGGCAGCCTCTGTGAAGATTTGCAGCCTAGAAAGCCCTATGGGACAGTTGTACTCTGTCTTTTAGGGTCACAGTAAGTCAAGATTGGCAATGGGCTGATGAGCAACTTTATTGCATACTCAATCTTAATTCCTCCTAAACGTCTTTGAGGAACTATTTGTTTTGCAACCTCACCTAGTTTTTGAAACCATCAGTAGGCCTTGCTTTAAAACTCCTTTTTTTACCTTAGGTGGCCATTTCAGCCTCAATGCAAAACAGCAAAATAAAAAATTCTAATGAAATTGAGGAACACTCCATCTCACAGTTAGTCAAAAGTTCTAAGGTTTTATCTGATCTCCTCCACTCTGCCTGCTGCCCAGTAAAACAGAACCTGGGTGCCTTGGGGAACTTTTCTTTCATGAACTTTGGTCTTTAAATATTTAGGACCAAGAAAAAAAAGAAACAAACTTGAACATATCACCCCCCCCCCTTATTTCTATTTTCCAAGAGGAAAGTCCAGAGGAGAAAGAAAACTTCCCCTAGTATTCACCCAAGTACTGCAAAGTTAATTCATAGACTCCTACCTCCTCTTCTGTGTGTTAAGTCCTTTGTTTGAAGAATTTTGGCTGGCAGCTGCAGGCTCTCTCTAGGGACACAGAAACAACATCCCTAACCCTGATCACATGTACGTCAGTGATCACACCCTTGATGTTACCTTTCATTTCAACATCTCTCTTGGCTCCATTTGCTCTAAGCAGTTTGAATTTCCTGCCAGCACAGTGGCACAATTTGCAAGCAGTTTTCTTTGGGATGCTTTTCATCAAGAGCCTAATGAGTGCATAGGTTTCTGGCTGATGATAAGAATGAGGCTGCCAGGGAAATGCCAAGAGGCCCCCTCTGCTCTGGAAGGCATCTCTGCCTGATTTCCCACCTCCTGCTAACTATGGTGAGATGCTCACGCATAGAAAATTCTCTACTCTTAGAACTACTCTGATAAACCACCTCAGTGTATGCACTAGAATCCAACGTCCTGACAGTTGGCCACAAGCAATTAAGCAGAAAAACGCCCTGTTGGAGCTAACTAAATGTACTTGTTAAGCCAAACTCCTGATGATGGATACGCCCAGATAACCAAGGTACATTAATAGGACATATCCAGAGATAATAAAACTTCCACTAATTAAATATTTTCCAGTGTCTGAGAATTTGCGGCAAATGTCCAAGTATTTTACCCAAACAAAAGGTTGCTATGTTATTACCTTAATGCCTTGTTACCTATAATTTAAACTCTGCTAATATCCTTTCTTGAGGCCTTTGAGAGTGTTGACAATGTTGACCTTCTTGCCAGCTTGAAGTTGTTTTCGTTTCCTGCTCTCACATTCTAGCTCTGCTTACATTCTTCAAATTCCATGTTTTCATCTTATTCTGTCTTCTTTTGTTTCATTACTACTTACATTTAGTTTTTCTACTTATTTCTCCTTAATATCTTTGTTTTTGAATTTAAGAATATTTTTTAAAACCTAGATTTTTTTCCTTGTAGATTCTTAGTTTTTAGGTTATAAAGTTTAATTCCTACCTTATGATTATTTATAAAATGTTGTTGTTGCTATGTGCTGTTAAGTCACCTGTGACTCATAGTGATCCTATGCACAACAGCTCTGAACCCTCTCCTATTCTGAACCAATCACACTATCTCTGATACACCTGTCCCCATTACTCTAGTCACAGTGTCAATCCATCTCATCCAGGGTCTTCCTCTCATGCATTGTCCCTACACACTTCCAGGCTTGATGTACTTTAACAAGGACTAGTCCCTCCTAGCAATTTGCCAAAAGTAAATGAGCTAGAGCTTCAAAATCCTTACCTCCAGAGAGCAGCTTTGTTTCACCCTCTCTAGGACAGACCTGTTTGTTCTCTTGGCAGACCATGGTATGTTCAATACTCGTCTCCAGCATCACCACTCAAAGACATCAATTCTTCTTCTGTCATACTTTTTCTTTGTCTGGCTTTCTTATGCATAGCAAGTAATTTCAAATACCAGGGCATGGATCAGCACATCTTTGTCTCTAGACTGACATCTTTGTTCTTCATCACTCTAGAGAGACCCCTGACAGTTGACTCTCCTAATCCAATTCATCTTTTGATTTCATGGCTGCTGGTGCCAAGACTGTTGATTGTGTACTTGAACAAGCTGAAATCGTTGACAACCTCAATCTCTTCTCCATTTATCATGGTGCTACCAACTGGCCCAGTGGTGAGAATCTTTGTTTTCTTGATGTTGAGTTTCAATCCATATTGCAGACTACAATCCTTCATCTTCTACATCAGGCACATTAGGTTCTCCTCCATTTCACTGAGCAAGGTTGTGCCATCTGCATAATACAAATTGTTAATAAGTCTTCCTCCAATTCTGATGCCACATTCCTCTTCATAAAGATCAGCCTCTTGAATGATCTGTTCAACATATAGATTGAAAAGGTGTGGACACAGGACAGTCTTCAATCTACATACACAGTGTTATTGTTGTTGTTGATTGCCTTCAAGTTGAGCATGACTCATAGTGACCCTACGAACAAAAGGCCTGAAGCCCCTTTCCAGCTAACAACATTTATCAACATTCATAGAGTTTCCAGAGGTATGGTGTTTAGGAAGTGAATACGACTCCTGCGGTGAAACCTGTCATACTA